TGACCTGCTGTGCATCATAGTGACCAGGCAGAAGTAACAGGAAACAGTAACAGGGAAACAGAAGTAACAGGAACTGTAACAGGAACTGAGGTAAACCGGAGGTCACCTGGGCAACTAACAGAGACTGAACTATACTGACTGGGGCAGGGGATTGCAATAGTGTATGACAGCTTGTTACCATATTTTTCCTGAGAGAAAACATGTTTTAGGAGTACTGGTCATGTGTTTTCTGGTTTGTTTTTTTTTTTTTTAATGGAAGAAATGGGGATATAGTTTTGGTGTAGGAATACCTCATGAACGTGCTGTCAACATGATTTTTCCCTGGTGCTGTTATCCTTGCTCTCCTGGAGGAAGCAGAATTTAATTCAGTGTTAAAGTCACCTTAAAGTGGCTTAGGTCGCATTCTTCCCAGGCCACCATTCCATGCTGGACATTTACAGTAGCATCACTGGCCATATTCAAGCTGGAAGGGGCAGAAACTGAGTTTCTTCCACTGGCAGGAGGATCTGCACACAGTAGTTAGAATTTTCCAAGGTGGGTCTTAAGCCAGGACAGATATGGGCAAATCAGGGAAGGGGATGGGTAAGATGGTCAAAAGGGTGAGCCTGGGTCCTGGAATGAGGCAGGAGGAAGGACTGGAATGGGATTGGACCAGGCAGAGCCAGCCTGGCCAGGCTGCAGGTCGAAACTGAAGGGTGACTCAGCAGTGGCGATGGCCCTGCTCCTGGGGGTTCACACAGTGGCGCATGCCAGCCCTCGGGCCAGCCACCACCATGCAGTCGAGAACTATCATGTCACAGGGAAGCACCGACAGAACCAGCCCACCCCGCACCTCCACCCAGGGATGTATGTGAGCCATCGCAACATGGAGAAACCCCTGGGAAAACATGCCACACAACGGGTCTCTCTTGGCCCTGCCCTTGAGAACCAGAAAGGTCCAGAGTCAGCGGAAGAGCAGCTGCTGAATAAGGACTCGGAGAACACAAGAATACAGAGTATGCTCCACTACTCAGAGGTCGAGCTGATTGGGGATGTGAGAGCCATTCGGGAGCTGGAAACCAGGAGGACCTTGCACAATACCTGGGGAGACCCCCTGGAAGCCATTCACCCCCTGACTGTACAGGCTGCGGTTGAGGAGTGCATGGAGCTCTGGAGAAGTATGCACCAAGATTTCATGGATTACATGGGTGCCCAATATTCAGATTCTGAAAAACTGCCCTCATGGAGAAGGTACGTGTCTAGGTTACCTGCCTGGGACACTTTGCACCTGATGGTGCTGAGACTCACTAGTGGGCCAAGGACTTCATCCACATATTCCTGCCACCTGTGTTGATGGCTGCAGAGAGGACACTAAATGGTTGTGGGGTCCCAATGTGCTGGGAGGCTGGAGAGATGATTAGTGTGGGTGCTCCATTGATGGCTGAAATGGACACCTCTGCTTTCTTAGATCTCTTACAAGAGGTATTGACAAAGCATACTTCCCGGGATCCCAGTTCAGTAGAGGGACAAATTATTCTTAAAGATAAGTTTATTACTTAGTCAGCCCCAGGTAGTAGAAAAAATCTACAAAAAATGGCTTTTGCCCCAGATAGCTCACTTGAGATGATAGTAAGAATTACGTCCTCAGTATTTTATAGCCGTGATGAGGAGGAGGCCAAGGAGAGAAAACAAAAAGACCGAGAAAAAGCAGCTGCCTTTGCTGCAGCACTAAGAGAAACAGACCCTAAGTCTGATTCTCAGGGCCCCAAGAAGAACTTGACAACAATGTTCATCTGCTACCACTGTCAAAAGCCAGGCCACCTCAAGAGGGACTGCATTAAGAAGCCCCCAGGGCCATGCCCTGACTGTAAAGGTGACCACTAGTGGTCGGACTGTCCTCTGAAGCGAAGGCCCCAGAGCTCAGACCCCTCCTACCAGCTGGTCCAACAGGAATGAAGGGGCCCGGGGCATACTCAGCCTTCTACCTCTGGCCAGACTGTCATCTCTATGGAGGAGCCCCAGGTAATCATGACTATAGAGGAAAAAGTAAACAGCCTATTGGTGGACACTGGTGCTAGTCTCTCGGTCCTTCTTTTCAATGCTGGCCTTCCTTGCAGCCATCACACCTCAGTGAAAGGAGTCACTGGTGAGGAGGTAATCTGCTACTTTTTCATAACCCTTAGGCTGTAATTTGTTAGATCTTCCTTGCCTATCTCTGTCTTCCTGAAAAACCACTTTGAAGATACCAACATGTATTACAGCAGCCACTGATAATTTCCTACCAATCTGTCCATCACTCGGTAATGTTTGTATTGTTCCTATGCTATTTTGTAAATGGATGTATGTTTATTACTATGTGTTTTCCAACAACAATCATTGAGAATAGTCAATGATTATGTAATTGATCACTCATGTATAGCTCTATTTGTTTTCTCTAGAAACCACTTTGAAGACACCAAAGTACAGTACAACAACCATTGATAATTTCCTACCATTTTTGTCTGTAACTCATTATTATTTGTCTATTTGTTTTCCTGAGAAACTATCTTGAAGATACCAATAGGCAAAATGACAACCATTGATAACTTCCTACCACTGTGTCTGTAATTTAGTAAGTCCCCCTGTTACTATGTTATCCTTCTTTTACTCTTTAATATAAAAAAAGAAACTCCTGTGAATGTGCTAAAAGCAACTTTGCTACATACAGCTGTGCTCTCCACAAGACACCCACTGTCCCATCACCTTCAGCAAAAACTTATCTCGTTCTTGCAACTTCTGTTTGCTGCCTTATAAATCAGACAAGCTCTCTGCGATCAACACCTCAGACTTTGGAGATCACTCCTCTGGGGTCCGCTGGCGTCCATACCATTTCCTTTCTTCTCCTGAGTGCCTGGCTACTGTTGACTCAGTTCTTCCCGCAACACCACAGCATCCCTGCTCCAGGCCTGGCTTTATTCTGCACACTTCTGTACACTCTCCTCGCCCAGACATCATCCCTCAGCAATGTGGCTTAGCACACTGAGAACGTGAAGCGACAGGGTCTGAGGTCCCCCTGGCTGGGCTATGGGGAGTGGAGCGTGGCAGGGACATCAGGGTGGCCTGAAGTAGCAGAGCTCAGCGGAGGTGGGCACTGCCTTGGCCCAGGATCCCCTGGGTTCCTCGAGGCCGTTATTGGCGCTGCTGGGGACCCAGGGTGGGGACCTTGCTGACCGTGTGTAGACTGCACCCTGGGTACCAGCAGGGGGCGATGGCTCGGAGCGCAGGGACCTGACTCCCAGCTCTAGAAACTGCCCCCGGTGAACCTGCAGCTCTGGGAGCTAGTGCAGCGCTCGCCTGGTTATTCCTGTTTGTTTTTTACTTGAGATAGTGGGGCTTGAACCTACTGCTTTTGCCCTGAGCTACATCCCCATCTCTTTTGTTATTTTTTATTTTCAGAGAGAATTTCACTAAACCAATCTGGGCTCAAACTTTTGATCCTCCTGCTTCAGCGTCATGGAGTACGGAAACAAACAAACAGAAATCCTATGTTTAATTGTTTTAGAATTAATCATTCTTAAATCTTCTTTCTCTACAAACATGATAATGTGCTCAAAAGCAAATAAAATGGACTTATTTATAAAGTTGTGCAACTTTGTGTGTGTGTGGTGCTCTAGGTAAACCCAGTGAGGGATTTCACTCTGAGCTACACCCCCACAATCTGTTTGTTATTTTAGCTTTGATACATGGGCTTGCGAATTCACTAATGCCCACCCTTATAGTCCTCCTGCCCCAGACTCGGCTAGCATTACATGCTTGCACTGGCAAGTCTGGCTTCCAAATTTATTTTCTTACTATGTGTTTTCACATCTTAGAAAACATCTTCCTAATCAGGGTGGCTCTAATGCCTATTATAAGTTGGTACCAGAAGGAGTGGGGATGGCTGAGACCAGACTCCCGACTTCTGGTGGACTAGTGAACCTGCCACTGCTAAACTGGAGTGTCAGTACAGCCTGGAGCACTTCTCTGCCTATCCTTTCTGTCCTGGTATCTATTTTTTAATAAGGAGTAATTTTGAAAATAATTTTGCCTTTCAAATGCATTTATATGGATGTAAGCAATGTGTCACTTCATGCAGCCAGACATGTGTGAGTCACATAACAGGAAGCAGAAAAGACATAACTGAAAGCCTGCAGGGTCCTGCAGGTCTGTGATTCTGGAGGCTGAAGCCAAGGATCGTAAGTTTGAACCTAGGCTAAGCAATTAGTGACTTAGTGAGACCATGTCTCAAAATTAAAATGAATAGCCTAATATAGGTTTCAAACCCAAACCAAAAGAACATTAATTTATTCTATGGGCTATAATTTGCTAAAAAAAACAACTAAATATTCTCCATAACCCATGCAAGCAAAATCTTTTGCTGAAACTACAAAAGGTAAAAATGTGCATGAATAACTGAGGGTTATGCCCAGCCTCTAGGCTGCTGGCTGGGTACTAGGTTGTGGGGCACTTGGTCTTTCCTTTGTATGAGGTCAGGCAGGGAGTAGGGGAGGTCTGCTCTGACAGACACACAATGACACATAACCCTAACCTTGACCTTCATGTAAAAGTCACAACCTAACCTAACCCCAATTTCCTCAGCCGACCCAGTGAGGTAACTACTCAAACCTGCTTCAAGGCCATACCCTGACACTCACCCTAACCCCAAGAAGAGCCCTAGACATCACACTAGTTCTCAGATGAACCCTTCACCCTAACCTGACTCTAATCCTTGACGCCTTGACCCAAGCCCCTAAACTGTACACTAAGTGGGAGGGCCTAGTCCTTAAACCAGCTTTCTCTGCCCACCAGGACCCAGATGCACTGGAGTCTGTGTGCAGATAGGAGCACAGGGTGGGGTATGTCCAGTTTTGACCCAGGCAGGTTAGGAAGAAGCAGCCAGCAGGCTGGGATGTCTTTGCAGCTTCCGCTTTGAGAAGGGGACAACAGAAAGTGACCTCACTTCCTTGACAGCGCACCAAACAGAACTTGGAACCCCAGAGGCTGGCTGGCTCTAGTTGCTTGTGGAGAGACTCGACGAACAAGAGGATGTGGTCGTGTTGTCGCACAAATAGCCCAGGCTCAGGACACAAGAGAGAGTGGAGTGGAGGCCTTGTCCAAATACAGACACACTGGGACACCTGTCGCCCCCTGAGCCTCAGGCGTATTAACACAAGGATCCCAAGTGTGACACGGAAGAGCCCAGGACAGGTCAGGGTCAGCCAGCCCAGCACTGACCCCCGGGTTGCCCAGCCCCCGCCTGGGAGGTGTGTGGTGAGTGTGTGTGTGAGTATGTGAGAATCAAGGGGCTTCTGGCCACACTGTCTCCCTTGGGTGCTGAGCTCTACCGGGTTGGCGACAGTTTCCAAGCTTGAACTCTCCCTTCTTGCTGCCACCTCAGGGTGCAAATGAGTTTGCCCCCCGGCTGGAAGAGGCCCGCCGGGCGGGGAGCCTGGAGCCAGGCACCCTGAAGAAGCTGGTGAACCAGCTGGTGCCTGCCCATCGCCGAGGGGACCCCTTCTTCGTGCCCGCGTTCCTGTCCACCTACAGGAGGTTCGCCACCACGCGGCAGGTGCTGGATCTGCTGTTCCTCAGGTGAGCCCCACCTCCAAGCCAGGGGACCCACCAACTCCTCGGTGCCTCTTGGGAATGTGTGGCACTGTTCTGTGCCCATTTTGCTCTGTGGAAATTGGGGTGCTCAGAGGACACCCCTCTGATGGTATAGACAGGACCAAGCTGGCTGAGGCACCACAGCACCCACCCAGGTCTGGCTCTGTGCAGGGGGAGTGCCCTGGGACTGTGGGGCTTCCCCTGCCCCAGGAAGGAGCTGTTCCCCGGGGCCTCCCTTTCCCAGGTTCCTGCCTATATGAATCCTGAGCTGCGACCCCTAGGGGCAGACGTGAGCCCAGCAGACTGAGATATCAGGAAACTGCTGGCTGGGTTCATTCACTGCACAAATATGTACAAAGCACCTACTGTGTGCAGGCACCTTTCCTGACACTTCACTGTGGTTCAGGGAGCAGCACAGACAAACCTCTCAGCCTCTCCTGCCTCCATCCCCATCCCCGGAATCAGGTCGTCCCCTAGACATCCTGGCAGGTGGGGACAGTGGGTGCTCAAAGGTCACACCCTGCCGGCCCTTCTAGGTACAGGTTCTTCCACCCCGACTCTGAGGAGGACCAGCAAAACAAGAGGTGAGAGGGCTTGGGGCTAAGAGGGAGAGCTCCTGTCTGCAGAGTGGGGATCCTCTGAGGAACTGGGCTTCCGTGGGGCTGGCAAAACCGGGGCTCCCTCAGTTTTCATTGAGTCCCGCTAGAGGCTGCGGTCCGGGGCCGCACCTCCAGCAGGAGGAAGACAGAGAAGTGTGGCCAGGGTCCCGCGCATGCGGCGAGCAAGGGTGGCCGGGCTCAGAGCAGGTACCTGTGAGGATCCATATGCAGACAGCCCATTCCCAGCAAGGAGAGCCCACGCCATCCTGTATGGAGGCTGCCTGGGAGGTGTGGGGTTCGGACAGCTCATGCGTGGGCCCCACACCCTGGACTGGGTGCCCAGCTGCCCCTGGGCAGGGCGGGCTCTGCCAGGCAGCCCTCCCTTCAGGGTCCCCGACAGGCTAGGGCGGGGAGGGGGCGAGGCCAGGCCTCTGACTCTGCTGCCCGCCTGCCCCAGCGCTCTGAGCTCCCTCCTGGAGACCTGGCTGCTCCAGTACCCAGGAGACTTTTGCCACTGCCCAGACCTGGCCAGCCTGAAGCAGCTGGTGGCCTATGCACTCGTCAACCTGCCAGACTCGCAAATCATCCCACAAGTGTGCGGACTCCTGAGCCGACCCGGAGCCCACTAGGTGCGAAGGATCTCCAGGGTGAGAGGCTGGGTGGGTGCCTGGGGGTGGCAGCAGGGGTCACACTGGGCCCCACACTGAGGAGGAGGCTGCAGAGGCTGCCACTGGCCAGGAGCCAAGGAAGAGGCTGGGACCACGACCGGGGGTGGGCCCGAGTGGGGATGCTGTGTGCTGTGGGTCAGCGGCTGGGGCTTCTCTGGCAGGAGGCGGCTGCTCGGCCTTGGGAAATACTCAGGGAAGGGCTGTCATGGAGTCTTTTCTCCTGCCCCTCTCCTGCCACTTCAGGCCAGAACTGCTCCCCAGCTGCAGCATTCGAGGGAGAACAGGAGCAGGGCAGGGGGAGCCACCACCCACTTCTGTGCAGCCGGGGGATCTGGAGCTGCACAGGTAGCAGCTGCCCAGCCTGACCCGTGTCCCCATCTTTCCCCCTCCCTGGCAGCTGGTCGTCAGGCTGCAGGACAGCTCAGGACACTCCACCTTGCAGGAAGGACTCCAGCATCCCGGCCCTCCCTCCTGCACCTGGAAGTCACCTTTTAGTTTTTTTGTTGTTTTCCAATCCATGTGTGGCATGGATAGGAAATTTTAGTTTAATAAATTTATTAAAATTTCATACATTTAATAAAATTTTATTGAAATAAAATTGAAGTCTTCCTCTCTTTTAAAATACACATCCAGGGGGCTAAATGCTCCCACCGTGCTGCACACCCCAGAGCACTGTCCAGCTGCAGCCCGGAGCCCCCAGCAGAGCCCCGGGTGCCGTGTGCGGGCCGCGCAGCACCTGCTGGGGAAGGGGCTGAGGAGCCCGGTGTGACAGGCACGGGCGGCCCTGAGGGGGGCGGGAAGACAGGCAGGCGAGGGCACGGCCTGCGCGGCCCCCCATGACACCCCAGGATCGGCTGTGCCCTGGGCAGCGCCCACGTCCTGGACAGCCCTGCCCCCGAGCGTCCGCTGCCCACCTGTGCTCGGAGGGCAGCACCCTCCCCAGCCGAAGCCAAGACACAGGAGCCGGCTGGGTCCACGCCCGTCACACACATAGAACTGAGGGGGAAGCAAATGCTCAGGAGCCCTGCCCCTGGCTCCCCACCTGGAAGCTATGCGGGACTCAAGAGCAGACCCAGTGCCACTTGGGAGCGCCCACTTTCACGGCTGCCATCTCTGTGGAGAGGGAGCAGGATGTGTGCCCGGGGCGGGCTGGAGGCGGCGGCCCAGGGAGGGTCCCTGGCCCAGATGTGGGAAACTAAAGCAAGTCACAGTAAGCAAGAGCAAGCACGCAGGGTCGCACACAGTGCCCAGGGGAGAGGGGAGGAGACACCTCCTGGAGCTAAAGGCTCCTTGGTACCTCCCCTGACTGAGGTTCAGGTTTGTGCTGCTTTCACGCACCAGAAGCAGAAGCCACGTGCTCAACTTTCAGAGGAAATCTTGGCGAAAGTCTTCCCCTTGCCCAGTCATAGGCCCGCCAGGTCCTGATGGGGTGCCTTCGGAGGCTGCAGGACTGATCCCCGTGTTGGAGCACCCCAGGGCTTCCTTAGAACAGGTCGGAAGTGAGCAACACAGCCCCCGGAGGAAACAGAAAACGAGACTGTGCTACATCAGAAGCAAAAAGCAAAACCAGTCCAGCAGAGGCATTGAACAGATACATGATAAACGAACTATCTAGTGGTCTGTCTGCATGGCAAGGGGCCAGTATTTAGGTGTGTTCTCATGGGGGCAGGTAAGCGAGACAGTGAGTGGAAGGTTTTATATAACAGAACAGCATCCAAGTGCCCGCTCCATAGCTCCTCGGTGCCGGATCTCCCACCATGCTGCTGATTCTCAGCACAGCGCTAGGCAGCAGGAACTGGATCACTTGCCTTCGTCTTCATATATGATGTGAAAGCACACAAGGGCCCCTCCTCCAGGCCACACAGGTCTCAATTATCTCTGAGCCCGGGGAGTTACGGAGACGTTTGTTCCCACTGCTACTAATCATGGGCTGGAGAGAGTGCCATGAGGAAGGGCACCCCCCATGGTATCAGCGGTCATTCCCTGTCCAGTATGGAGTCCATGGTTTCATCTCAGTGTGAGCAAGGGTGAACAAGAAAGCCACAAGCCCTTGCCCTGTCTTCCTGGAGCAACTCCAAAATGTGGAGAAAAGGGCATCGTGTTCAAATCTGAGCAAATGTCAATATAGTGTGGACCTTAAAATGTGCCAACTGTGCTAAAGATAAGATGGGTTGGAAGAGCGTTCTGAGACCGTGGTGACCTCTGAGCTGAAGGTCGTTGGAGCTCCTGGGACACAGGTTTAAAGTTCACAGGCTGGGGACAGGAGGAGGAAGATGGAATCCACAGCCGCTAGGGTTTGGATGCTTGTGTCCCCTCCAGTGTTTATTCAGCAACACAGTGCCAATGGCACAGTGCTAAGAGCTGCGCCATGTGTGAGACTAGCAGGCCATGAAGGCTCCTTCCTCCCGGACGGGCTCCTACCCAAGGTTCTACCCAGGGCGGCAGAAGACGAGACCCTGAGCTGGTGCCAAAAATCAGAATGGTGTGTCCTGCACTGGTCCCTTCCAGTCCTGAGTTTCCATAAAATGAGAGGCCACGCTGGCATTGCCAGCGCTCATGAGCCCCTGACTGTGGGCCTGGCTTTCACCGCTGTCCTCCTTCCCAAGCACAGGGGATCTGAATGACCTGCAGGACTGTGCCTCGAGGGGTAGGGTGCCTCTGTGCTAGCCTCTGTGGAAGCAGCACCCGTGCCCTTCCTGAGACGTGAACCCCACCCCACAAGGCATCGGCTTCCCTGGGTGTGGGCGCCAACCCTCTGGGCGAGGGTGCAGACCAGACCCTGTGTGCTGGTGGAGCTGGGCTTAGGTCCCGACTCTAAGGTTTGAGAGTGATTTTTTCGTAACCTAACAAGAGACTCCTGACAGTATTCCAAGCAAACGTTTTCTATAACACATGATGTGTAGGAGAAAACCTTGAGGATGAGCAGTGCCCTGTGGGGGGCGGGAGGATTGCTCAGAGCCTGGCCCAGGAGGAAGAGAAGCGAGGAAGTGTTCTGCCTGAGGGAGGTCCACAGACAGGACAGGGGGCCAGGGCAGGGCCGAGCCAAAGAGGGAGTCAGAAAGAAGCGATGCGTGGATGATGCTACTTGGAGAGTAACACTGAGAATGTCCCTCGTGTCAGCCTGGAAATGTGTCACCTACAGATGTGGGTGCTCCAGCCTCGCTAGCTAGAGAAACCAGTGTCCCCTGCCTGAGCCTCTCTGCTCTTCCACCGGAGCAGTCACACGGGGGGTCCCCAGGCTGTGCGATGAGACAGGTCGCTTCTCCCCTGCTGGTGACAGTTGGGATGGGCTGGGGATCCCCCCATGGTCTGGCTCTCTGTGTCGGAAAGGTGCTGGGGACAGTTGGGCTGGCCCTGTGTGCCCGTGTTCTGTTCAGTTGGTGGCTTTACCGGCTTTTCCCTGGGGCATTCTGGGGCTCCTTGCCTGGCTAGGACTTCCAGCACATGTCTGTGGGAATGTCCTCACTTCTCCCTCATCTGTGAGGGACAGTGTCACTGGGTACAGAATTCTTAGTGAAGAGGGATTTTTGTTTTCTAATTTCATTCATCACTGTAGATAACAACCAATTTCCTTCTGATCGCCAAGGTTTTCATTGTGAATGGAATGATGATTTTCTCAAGAAATCGCAGTGGAAATTATGTACTGACAGTGTCACAGATGCTAATAATTAATCTTTTTGTATTTTATGCAGAGAACGCTGTATCATCAGAATGTCAGCGAAGTCATAGCATCATTTGGGGACCTGTTAAAATTTAAAGAGGAATGGTTTTTAAAAACAAAGGATACAGATTGCAAACCAAAATTGAAAAGGACATTAAAAAGAAAGCAGGAAAAAAAGGTCATTAAAGTATTCTATGGGCTTTAATTTGTAAAAAACTAAATATTCTCCATAACCCATGCAAACAAAAAACATTTGCTTAAGCAACAAAAGGTCAAAATGTGCATTGATCACTGAGAGTTATGCCCGGCCTCCGGGCCGCTGGGTGGGCACTGGGCTGAGGGACACAGAGGTCTCCCCTCTCTCTGGGGCTGGTAGGCAGCAGGGCAGGTCTGCTGCAGTCCTGAGTGTCCCACTAAAATCAGGGACAAATGACCCTTGATCTTTTGTCTCAGAAACACAGCAGCTTCTCAGAACACAAGCAGCAGAGGCCCCTGCTGCCATGTGGAGGACGGTTCTCTAAGGAGTCCCAGGTGTCCCCAGGATGGCAGAGTGGCCAGGCAGGGCCAGAGTGAGAAGGACCCACTAGGAATGCTCAGCAGGACCCAAGTCACACCTACCAGGTGTCCTAACCTTGGATGCCCATGAGCACAGAAGTGGAGCCTTCTCACAGTGCCCCAAGCTGGGAGGCCACTGTGCACTTGACTCCTTTGGTTTCCCAGGAAAGCAGAACTCAGAGAGAAACCCAGCCTCTCTCTCCCTCTGTGAAAGCTTCTCAGCTCCAGGCAAGCACCTCCTCGGGCAGCCCTTCCCGGTCCTGTGCTTCTCTCACTGATGAAAGAGACACTCCAAGAAGCTCTCTACTGGGATCTCCTTCCTTAGAGGGGCAATACTGTGTACGATAGCTGATCAAGCGAACAATGAGGTCGTGAACAAGCCTCCCAGCATCCTAACATCCTGAAACACAAAGGATGTGTTTTCTCTCAAGCTGTTATGGTTTGTGTCTGCATGTCCCCCCAAATCCTCTTGCAGTCATGGGGCAGGCTTCTATTCTAGATTTTTGATTGATCCACAGTCTATGCTGGGATTATGGGTGTGAGTGCTACACCCACCCTGGGGCAACTAATTTGCATAGAATGTAAGGGAGGGAAAGAGGCTTGCTGTTCCCTCTGTCTGCTGCTCCTCCCTTTTCTTCTTGCTGCTTTTGCTGTCTTCCACTGCCATGAACTGTTGCCCTCTGCCATGTGCCACTCTGCCTTAGAGCCAGCTGAGTATGGACTGAAACCTCCACAAACTGTGAGCTAAGTCAACCTTTCCTTCCTTCATTTTGGGTGTCAGGTATTTTGTCTCAGCAATGAGAGAAAAGTAACCAAGACACAAGGCTAAGATGGCATTAGCTGCTAGGATGACTAACAGCCTAGTTTCGATTCTGCATCTCAGCTTGCTTGATGCCACAAATTGAATGAAAGGGGACCTCTCCTTGGTTTGGGGCCCAGCCTGCTTTTGAGCAATTCCAGTGGCTGGGTCATGCATTAATAAAGTCCTCCTGTAATCTTGCCTGGTCTCTCCAGTTTCTTGGAAATTTTGCAAAACCTGCCTCAGCTCCCAGGAGGACAGCTACCAATGGGCTCTGGGGGCTGCCTTCCAGAGATTTGGGGTGCAGTGGCAATGCAGGTACCGGGCCCTTGCAGCCCTGTGATTCAAGAGTTCATACCAGCATCCAGACTAGGACAAAAGTAGATCTTCTCAGGGGGAAAGTACCATGAAAAAGGCTGGGGGCATCTATAGCTCAGGGTGGAGCACTTGGCTAGCATGAGGAGGCCC